AAAAAAAAAAAAAAAAGCTTGGTCACCTTCCAAGCTGTGGGTGGTGTACCCTGTTGGGACTTCTGAACTAGTCATTTTTCCTAACTGTCATAGAGAGAGTCTTAGTCAGCCTGGGCTGCTATAACAAACATACCAGAGACTGGGTGGCTTGTGGAGAAAAGAAATTTATTTCTCACAGTTTTGGGGTTTGGAAGTCCCAGGTCAAGGCACCAGCAGAATCGGTGTCTAAGGAGGAACCACTTTCTGGTTCACAGATGGCTCCTTTATCACTGCATCATCATGAGGTGGGAGCGACAATGGAGCTCTCTGGAGTCCCTTAGGCAAGGACATTATTAGTTTCCATGAGGGATCCACATCATGGCCTAGTCACCTCCCAAAGGTGTCACTCCCTCATGCCATCAGATTGGGTTAGGTTTCAACATCAAATTGTCGAAGGGGGAGACATAAGTATTCAGTCTATCATTGTGCAGTCAGTCAGTAAGTAGTTTGCTTTACTCATGGTGACCTTGATGTCAATTCATCATGCTGCAGAACCAAGGTGTGGTAATGCAATTGGACCCACATGGGAAAGGCCCTGAGTTAATGGCCTGGGACCTCCCTGGGCACTCTGGATCCATGTATGCTTGTGATCCATGCTGGCTAAGTCTGGGGGTGGATTGGCATGTGAAGACCCTGTTGAGGGGTCTCTCTCTCTCTCTCATGCATTGTCTCATGGAAGAAATAAATGAACAAACAACAACAACAAAAGAGAACTGAGGCACAGGTTGAGAGAGGAAAATGTTAGAAAGGGACACCAAAGCTTAGGTACTGCTTTTCTGTTCCAAGCAGAATTGTCCTGGTCCCTTCTCTTCTGCAGTCACTCATTACAGTATTTTCCATCTCTTGGGACCTCAGATGGATGACAACATTTTGTAGAAGAGAAGAATATAAGAATTGTGCTCTTCACCGTGATACAAGCCAATTCCATGGGGTCACTGTGGGTACTTAGTAGGAGGAAGGAGCTACTTTGGCATGCTCTATCTTGACAGTGAAATCATTTTGGTCAAACATAATTTGAATACCCTGTAATGAAAATAAAAGCCTAAATCATCCTAATGGTTATTGGACTTCATTCTCTTCTCTCTGGAAAATGGAATGTTTCAAACAAACAACTCAAATGATAGAAAAGATGTCACATCATGTCCTTATCATGTAACTGCTTATAGAAAACTAAAATAGGGACCAGCAGATGGTGGAATGGTTATGTCACTGGACTCTCAGGTAGTCAACCATGGGTCAAATTCCAGACCCAGCAGCTTAAAACTCACGCCAGGTGTGTGTGCATGCATGCCCAAAATCCCAAGAGAAGAATGGAGGACAAGGGACTGCGGTGTGGCCATCCCCCAGGGTGGGGATTTCTCACTTTTTGTCTCTGTCTCTCTGCAAGTGCTCATACCCTATAGCAAAAATCTCTCTCTAAAAAGAAGAAGAAATGAGGATTTGGGTAGCAGGTTTTCTCCCTGTGACAAATGATAAGACCACATCTACTATTCTTTATTTTGACCAAGACAAGGTGAGGGAACTCCAGATCTACGAGTCACCTAGAAACAGACTACACGACTTCAGATGAGCTCATCGACCATGCACGGCTGGGTTATCCGGGAGTGAAAGCGAAGCGTTTCACTGCCCTGTGGGCACTAACTGCCTCAAAGTGTGTCCACACACAGCGCTGAAGCCTTGGCACGCAGTCACACGGTGGCATTACGTGCGGGACACAGGCACGCCAGGCCTGAGACAGAGAAACAGCCGCGAGTTAGACCATACCAGGTAGAGCCCTAGGAAATTGCAGCGTGTGGAGCAGGAAAACACAGCCCTCCCGTCACAGGACACGCAGTCTGTTGTGGTGCTGCACTTCAGGTGCAGTTTCAGACAGCCACTACCAACACAGCCAGGGAGCTCCCGACATGGGCAGGTCTGGTCCGAGACAGGGCGCCTTCCTGAGGGTCCCCAGCTGGCCCAGCATGGCAGCACCAGCAGCAGTGCCCTGGTCTCCAGAGCTGAGCCAGTGGTCGACCACAGGTTCAGATCCCGAGCCAGCCTGAGACTGCTGGCATAGCGTCCAAGGGGTGACCAGCTGTGGAGACAGAGGGGCCTGCAGTGTGGCAAGACCCTGCCCGGGTGCCACCCTTCTCCCTACCTCTCTCTCCCATGTTCCTGTCTTGCCTCTCACAAAAGAAATAAAACTTTAAAAAAAGAAATAAAACAAAAACAAAAAAGCAAAATACCTAAAAGCAGGTTGCTCATTGATGTCTTCAAGGCAGAGACTGGCAACATTTCTCAGACAGAAAAGCAACCTGGGGCCAGCCCATGGTCTAGCAGACAGGGACATGGCAGACACAGCCGACCACACAGTTCAAATCCTGGCCCTGGTAGGCTTGGAAAACATTCCAGGCACAGGTGCATACGTGCCCAAAATCCCTATAGCATGGAGAAATGGAGGATAGACTGTGGCAAGACCACACCCCTTGGGGACTGCTTCCTCCCTGTCTGTCTGTCTGTCTCTGAAAGCACAGACACCATTTAGCAAGTTAAAAAACAGAAAAGAAAGAGCTTGGGATCAGCAGGGGAAGTAGCCAACTGTTGGAGTCCCAGACCTGGTGGCTTGAAAATCATGATGGGCACGTGTGGGTGCATGCCCAGAACCCCGGAAGGAGGCTAAGAAGGGACGCAGGGTGCCATCCCAACTGGGGGATCTCTCTCTTTCCTCTCTCTGTCTCTCTCTGGCAAGTGCACATACCCTGTGGCAATAATAATTATTTTTTTCCCTAAGAACACAGGCACTTGCTGGAGAGAGACAACAAAGAACACCCAGGGGGACAGCCACCCCACTATCTCGTCTCCCCCTTTGTTCTCTCAGGATTTTGGTCATGCATACACATGCATCTGGCATGATTTTCAAGCCCCCACAGTCGGGTGGGATCCAGCACCTTAACTTCCATACTGCCTGCTGGCCCCAAAAAACAATTTTTTAAAAGATTCTAACATGACACTGGCAGGTGGCGTGGTGGTTAAGGGCTCTGGACTCCCAAAGACCTGACCACGGTTCACGGTTCAAATCCCAGACCTGGAGGCTTGCTTTCCCACTTTCTCTCTCTCTCTCTCTCTCTGTCTGTCTTTCTCTGGTCAAATGTAAGTAAATAAATAAATAAATGTTAACTAAAATAAATCTTAAAAAAAAAAAAAAGACTCTAACATGGGCCCCC